AGTTATGGATGGTTTCGAGACACCATGTGGGTGCTGGGAATCAAAGCAATCTTCACCACCTCTCCAGCACCTCTTCACACTCCTTGAACAGGAAGGACATACATGTTTTGAAGGGGCTTGGGGAGGGGAATAGGGTCCAGAAGTTTATTGTCGATATTTGTTTTTAGAAGTCACGACTCCAGTGGGGAAGGCCTGCCATGAGATTTGAACCAGCGGGATTTGAACAGAAGGACCACTGCTCCTAGGGAAGAGGAAAGGGTGGGAAAGGTGACGTAGCCTCTTAGCAACTCCTTCTGGGACGGGGGAAGACAGCATGCAGCCTCCTTATTGTGTGCAGAGTGTTCGATGACACAGCTCTACACACATGACCGAGCTGAGACAGGCTGAGGACATGGATGAACCAGAAATTCAAAACAAAAAAAACAAAAAAAAAAAAAACAAAATAAAACAACAACAACAAAACGCTGGGCGGTGGTGGCGCACATCTTTAATCCCAGCACTCTGGAGGCAGAGGCAGGTGGATCTCTGTGAGTTAGAGGGCAGCCTGGTCTACAGAGTAAGTTCCAGGACAGCCAGGACTACACAGTGAAACTCTGTCTCGAGAAACAAAAAAAACCAAAACAAAACAAAAAAAGTGTGTGTGTGTCTGTATGTGTGGTTTCTTTTTCTCCCTCCATCATGTAGACCCTAGGGATTAAATTCAGATTTAGGGGTGACAGGGGTGGGGAGGTGCTGGGGGCTTTACCTGCTGAACTATGTGCCTGGCTCCAGAATGTTTTTGAAGTCTTTCACGCTCTAAGAGACCATTCTGTGTAGACTCTGCCTGAGAGGCCCTGTGCATAATTGTAGCCTTTCTGCAGGAAAAGGCGAACAGCTGCTGCTCCTTTCCTCTCATCCAATTTGGGTGGTATTTATTGAGCCTTATGTGTAAGGGACCGTCTTCACAATGTCCCAGCTACCCCCTCCACAACACTTGCCACCCACTCCCCCCACTATGAAAAAAATCTGATCATAGGATTCCCAGGCAGTGGAAGCTTCCAGCCAGCTGCCTCAGAAAAGCTGAGTCCTCCAGGTGGCCTGGGAGGGAGGCTTCCAGGGAGATGTGGCAGGGTACTTGCTGGCAAGGAGAGTGCTGTTTCCAAATGGGGGACGAGGGAGGGAGGCAGGCAAAGAAGAAATCTGCTGACCTTAGGGATCCTACTTTCCTGTTCCTGTTTTCAGAGGATGCTGGGAAGTGCCTGCTTCCTCCCTTGAGCCCATGTGCATGCATCTCTCAAAGATGACAAAGCAGAAGCAGACTTTGGATCCTCACATACATGGGCTCCCCGAAGTAGGATCCTGTGATGCAAGGGTTTCCAGGGTATCAGCGGGGACTGGAGGGAGGGAGGGAGGGAGGGAGGCTGTCCTCCTCATCTCTGAACATACTGAATTCTCCTTTCCCATACTCCCCTCCCTCCCTGGATGTCCAGTGATGTTCTTAGGGCATTCTAAATCTGTGGTGTTGTGATATCTGCAGTGTGGCTTTGGATCATTTAGAGGTAGCTAGGGATACTGGGAAACTAAGAAGGAAAGTGGGGTGGGAGGAAACCTGAGTCTAGGGGTACTTTGCCCCCCAATCCCGCCTCTTTTTTTTTTTTTTTTTTTTTTAAAGACAGAGACGAACTATGTAGCTCAGGAGGCTATCCTTGAGCTCACAATCCTCCTGCCTCAGCCTCTTGAGTGCTGGTACCACAAGCATGTGTCACCGTGTCAGGCTATACCTTCCCTTCATTTGGTGTGAAAATACTACTTTAGTAGGCTGGGCCATGGTGGTGCATGCCTTTATTTCCAGCAGTTGGGAGGCAGAGGCAGGTGGATCTCTGTGAGTTTGAGGCCAGCCTGGGCTACAGAGTGAGTTCCAGGACAGCTAGGGTTGTTACACAGAGAAACCTTGTCTCAAAACAAACAAACAAACAAACAAACAAACAAACAAACAAACAAACAAACAAGGCTTCAGAGCCAAGGGTGGTGGCCTCTGCCTACAATCACAGTATTTTGGAGGCTGAGGCAGGAGGATTTGGAGTTTGAGTTCAGCTTGGGCTACATAGTGAAAGACAGTGGGGAAAACTTAAAAATCTGATTTTTTCCCCTTTGAGATAGGGTCTCATGTAGCTCAGGCTGGTCTTGAACTTGATATGTATAGCATTGAATCTCTGATCTCTTCCTCCCTCATCTCTAAATTCTGGGATTATATGTGTATACCACCATACCTGGTTCTAAATTTCCTTTTAAGTTTTAGCCAAGCATGGTGGTACACACTTTTAATCACAGCACTCAGGAGGCAGAGGCATGTGGAACTCTGGGAGTTCAAGTCCAGCCTGGTCTACATATCAAGTTCCTAGGACAGCTAGAGCTACATAATAGACTCTCTCTCTCAAAAAATATATTTTTGATTGAGTCTCTCTGTGTAGCCCTGGGTGATCAGGAACTTGCTATGTAGATCAGGATAACCCTGAACTCAAAGATTTGCCTGCCTCTGCCTCCTGAGTACTGGGATTAAGGTGTGTATCACCAAATTTGGCTTAAATTTCCTTAAAAAAAATGAAAATCATAGCCAGACAGTTGTGGTGTATGCCTTTAATCCCAGCAGAGGCAGAGAGGCAGGCAGATCTCTGAGTTTGAGGCCAGCCTGGTCTACAGAGCAAGTTCCAGGACAGCCAGGGCTACACAGAGAAACCTTGTCTCGAAAAAAAAAAAAACCAACCAAACAACAACAACAACAAAGAAAAGAAAAGAAAGAAATTTCCCTCAACGGGGTAAAAAGCCATGAAGCACACCCTCCAACCCCCCACCCTGACAGCTAGGCTGGGACAGACAGACAGAATGTCTGTGCGCACTGCTTCGCGGGCAGGAGAGAGGGCCAAGGGAAGACATAGCCAGGCAGAGCCACAGGAACCAGCAAAAGCAGGGAACAGTAAAGCCTAGGCTATGGGATCCATAATTGGTTAACAAATAATAATGCCAAAATTGGATATTAGCCGCAATTAGTTTCCACAGAAGCACTAGGGGAAAAAGCTGCAGAAATGCCCACTGGGCCTTAAACCCACGCAACGTGAAATTAAAACAGTGTCTCAATTAAATGGGAATAAATATTGCCCCATGAATCTTTGCACTTGTGGGAGGGGACTGAGGAGGAGCCCCCTGTGAACCCCAGGGCCACTTTCCTGCCCAGGGGTAAGCTTTGGCAGGCCCAGCCTGAGACCGTTGCCTTCTGGGCCTGACATATGACCTTGGCAGGCCAAGTGGCTCATGTGAGACCTTGAATCCAAGGTCTGAAGATTATTTCAGTTATTCGGCTTGTTGGCCCCTGGGAGAGTTGCTTACCTCATTAACTGAGCCCAGGTAGGCCCAACAAATGAGGAACGTTAGGAATTTCTTTCTTTGTATAAACAGAGACCTTGTTCTGTCCCTGTAATGGCTGTGCAGGGAAGCGAGGTTTGGGAAGACTAGACCAGGCTTTTCTCCTCCCTGGCTGACTCAGTTCAGCAGCTCCGTCCCACAGGCAGCCGATCTGGGTCTAGCACCACCTAGGGAATGTGTTCTTGGGGTGCAGGATTTTTGTGGATTGTGTAAGGGGGTGCGAGGATGTGGAGGACGACACCTCGATTTTGGTCCCGTCGTCACCTTGTGCAGCCAGGCTGGTGCAGGACAGGGGGTGGGGTTGTGGAAAGGGCAGTCTGGGAAGATGCCACTCTCCCCTCCTGGATAATACAGTCTCACCAGGAGTGCCCTGCTGGTGCAAGCAACTGACCACAAAGTGGCTTTCCCTAGTAGGGTCCTCCCCTTCCTCCCCTTGGCTACACCCGCCTCCAAGCATAACCACTAGCCAATCTTGCACTCTAAGAGCCTTTTCTGGGTTGCTGGATAGTGCTATCCACAAGTCTCAGAGAGGGGCCCATTGTAAAGGACTAGCTCTGGGCTGGGGCCTTGGGATTGCCGTGGCCTATCCTTTGCAGGTGTACCCACTCTGCCCAGCTTGACCGGTTCCCTGATCTTCTGCTGGACTTTCTAACCACCCGTAGGGTGGACTGATTGGCTTCAGCGTGAAACTGGGGGGCAGGATGGAGGTGAGTTGGAGCCAGAAAAAATATAGGGGCTCAGGGATGGTCCTTGCAATGGGTTGACCCCAGTGGAATTTAGGATTTCGACTTGGAGTGCATCTCGGAGCTGGATTGAAATAAACTCATTTCTGTGTGAACTTCAGATCAGCTCAGTGTTTAAAAGAAACAAATCTCCCATGTTCTAAATCTGCATGATGAGGAAGAGACTCACAGAAAACTCTGGAGCACAAAAAAAAAAAAAGACGAAGTCAGTGCTGGTTCAAGTCCATGTGTGATGCACCCGGAGCGGAAGAGAAGGAAGCAAATCTGCTCTGGGAAAGTCTGGTGGCCTGGGCTGCAGCATCCAGCCTGGGCTTGGCTACCACAGAGCGGCATATTGGCGGCTCACAAAGCAGGCCACCTTGAAAACTCGGCACAAAGCCTCAAAATGCACTCATCTCACCTCCCAGGCCCCAGGTCTGGCAATTTTCACATAAGTTTAAGCAACGAACAGATTTGGTTTGAATTTAAAAATGACCCTCGGGCCCCAGTGAAATCTCCTAGTGACCCTGGAATTTATTTGGGGGCTTCTGTGGCTGTGACCCCTCGCAGACCCTCTTTAAGACAAAAGAGACCGAGAAAAGATGAACCTGGCTAGAGACAATTGCTGATGCTTCCCCTGGGACCTGGAACATTCCTTGTTCTCGTTCTCCATGAAGCCTGCTGCCCCGACTCCACCTAAATTTGGTGCTTCACATCTCTAGGCACAGAGACTGCTTCCAACAAATTCAGCTTCAAGTCTTTTTTTTTTTCCTTTTTTGTACCGTGTTTGCTTGTTTGATACAATTAAATATTAAAAACTTGAATCAATTTGGCTAGGACTTGGCAAAAAATACCCAATGAAAGAATTATAGATGGGTCTCGAAAGAAAAAAAAAATCTTTATTAGGTACCATAATTCTCAGCATTGCTGTTAATATCCTCATCATTGTGAATCAGCCCGCCAAGCCTCAAATACACACACACCACCAGCACACACTACAGTCTGCCCATGTTGACTCATGGGCTCAAAAACCACCCACAGAGTAGCTGAGGAAGGGGAGGCTCCATCTGTCCCAGGCAGGATTTCTGCAGCTGCCCCCAGGCGGCACTCTAAGGTTCGGATGGGGGTGGGTGTTACATAAGTTCAATAGTGGGAGAGAAAATTTCCTTATAAAGGTGGTGTGGATGGGCGCATTTTCTTTTGTGGCCAAATGCCTTCCACATTATTGATGGATATGGTTGTGTGAGAAAATCTATGGCTTAATATGTGTGCACGGAGGCACTGGGGACATGCCCCTCCCCACACATTAATTATCTGATCAAAGTTCCTTGTGTAACCTCCCTCCCCCCCCCCCACACACACACAGAAGAAATTTATAGAATTTACCATTGCATCTGTTAAAGAATCAATTCCTTTCCACTGAGACAGATCTGGGCTGTCTCTGGCAGGGGAGAAAAACATATTAATCATTAGTCCTTTGAGACATTCCTAAATCTATTCCAAGTACTGGGTTCCTTAAGAGACACAAGAGCTTGTATGCCATGGGGACTGAGACCATAGTGGATCTGAACAAACCCAAGGGACTAAGAACGCGTATTCAGTCATCAAACTATGTCAGCCTCCTCCTATGGTTAGATCACGAATGTCTCCTTTCATTTTAGCCATACTATGTAATTAGAAGGCGCAAATAGGCAGGGGAGGTGATCTTGAAAATTCAAGAGACGCCTTGGGAGAGCAGAAGGCTTCAGCTTCTCTGCATAATGACTGATGGGCATAAAAGGTCAGAAAACGCAGAGGAAGGAAGGCGGCAGCTCAGGCTGACCTTGGCTCTGGTTCTTCATTTGGTGAAAAACGAAAGGGGGGGGGGTTGCAATTATACCTGGGCTGAGAAGGCCATTCGAGTCCCCCACACAAACCCCTTCTGGGAAGGAGACCTGGTGGACACATAACATACTCACACTGGGTGGCACAGACCGGCCAGCCCAGAACACCCCCCCACACTAATGCCTTCTGGAACAAGAGTATCTGTAAGCAATAAAATAAAAACCCACCCCTCCCAGCAGCACCGTTCCTACGTAGCAGATCCCAGGCAGGCCTTCCGGAAGGTGCCTGCGGTTGGAGCTCGCAGAGAAAAAGCGTATTGGGTTTCTTATCTTAAAGGACCTTACTTGGGGAGGCATCTGGAGGTTATGTAAGATGAAGTATCAGTGAAGGACGAGGGGACATTTGAAGGAATCATGGGGAAGCAATTACTGAGCCGAGGATTGCTAATGGGGACGTTTGTGGTACAGGGGTTGGGCCGTCAGCAGCTTAGGCCATTGCTGGAAGGCAAAAGAACATCTCATGGGGCATGGAGGGGGGCAATGGGCACACCCCCAAAATGGTACAGTACACAGTCTTCTCTCTTCTAACATATTTATAAAGGGTGGGAGTGTCCCAGGACAGGGTCAGTTCTCATTTCAAGGGAGGTAGATTTTGAAGGCAATGGCTACGGCATCTCTTAGGACGGCCATTGCTAAGGCGTTCCCTTCCTGGTACCCTCGTGTGCTCTATAGGACTCAATCATCGAAATCCCTGTGGCCCTCATGATGTATGCACTACAGCTTTCCCCCTGCAAGAGTGAGCGGGCTGTGGCTCATTTCTGCAGAGAAGAGAAGGTTCTGGGAAAGCCTAGGCAGAGTGGGGCGCATTCACCCTCAGTCTAGCTAGGGCTAACGCTGGCTAGCTCTAACACTCCCTTCTGTGATGAAATTTAGCAGTTAAGATGAGCTCATCACAAAGATGGACACATAGTAGATACTCAAGAAATAATAAATACTCGTGAGGGAGCTAGGCCAGAGAGGTACGGATCCATGATACCCTCGAATACTAATTTACTAGACTAGAGGAGGTAGAGGCTTTGGAGAAAAGAGTCCTCCATTAACTCCAATGGATGCTCTTTTAGACTCTGATTACTGTGTTAAGAATCAGATTAAACTCCTAAACATCCTTTATGGGCTTGGCCTTGCAAAGGCAGGCCTCTGTCAGGACAGCAGGGGGAAGGGCCACCGCCTGCTCCCTGGGTGGGAAGGCCAGCTCTTGGCCTCCTTTCCCTCCCTCTGCTGCTGGGACCTGCCTGCCGTGCCTCTATTTTCTCCACCTGGAAATTAATGAGTTTAGGTCGGTCACCAGGCCACCACCCTCCCACTGCAGGTTGGCGGGGAGGGGGGGAACACTGAGATGGAGATGGAATGGAACTGTGTCGGGGGTCTCCAGGACCAGCTGCTGCTGGGGGCTGATTTGGGAAGCAGGTGCTTCAGGATGAGGGAGGCTTAACCCTTTCTGTTCCTGGACAGCCCGCTTCAAAACAGACTTTCCTCAGACCCCGACCTGTGCACATGCTGTTTTTCCTTCTGTCCCGGTTTTAAGAGCAACGGAGCAGCCCTCCCTTTGAGGGGGGGGGGTCCCTCGCCTCTCCTGCAGTTTTGGATCTTTGCCTGAAACTTCAGTCAGAGCCCTAAGAGCGCTGGGAGGCCCTCCTCGGAGCCGTGGGCTAGCTGTCAGCTTTGATGGAGTCTGTGCGCTGTTCATGAGCCAATTTGCTGGTTGCCTTCATCCCAGAGATCTGCTTAAGCTTGTCAAATGCCTACAGCTCTCCACCAAAGTGTGACAAACAGCTTCCTCTAAAGACTACCCGACCAACCCCAAGCAGAACAATTCAATGTAGCTGCAGTCCAGGCTCTGGGGGGCAGTCTGCCCGGCGCATGGGTACCAGATTATTTGTTTAAGGGCAAACTGAAAGCCCAGGACAAAAAGAGATACGGAGGAAGGTGTCGACCTTGTACAATGGGCAGGGTCCCAGATGCTAACTCGCACTCTTCATTCTCCAACAGCTCCCAGACTGTCTCCCACTCCTACTACCACCCGCTTGCACAGATCCGTGTTTCTGTCACAGAATGGGTTGTTTCTTTTCTAGATTCTGTTTGCATCTGCACAAGCCCCTCTTTGTCGGTAGCCGCACACATCCCCACCCTAAAGGCTGCGGTGTGAGGCATTCAGCAGCTCACTGCCCCTCCTGTGGCGCCTGCAGCTGCAGCGCTGAGATCTGCCCAGGGCGTTGGGCTGGGTCGATCCTTCCGTGGTGGCGGGCCCTCGAGGACCCAAGGTGCTCAGACAGCCCCATTCTTGGCATTCACCGCGTGCCTTAATTGTATGGACATTTAAATCAAGGTCCGCTGTGAACACGGAGAGAGAGGCCTTTCTCCTGAGGAAGGAAGGAAGGAAGGAAGGAAGGAAGGAAGGAAGGAAGGAGGGAGGGAGGGAGGGAGGGGGTATGGAGGATGGAGGAAGGGAGGAGGGAGGGGTACGGGAGGGAGGGAGGAAGGAAAGGTGAAAGAAAGGGAGGGGATGGGAGAAGATGGAATGAGAAAACGAGGTATGAGAAAGAAAAAGCTGGCGGCGCGTGTGCGTGCGCACTGACAGCGGGGAGGGTGGGGGGTGGGGGAACGCGATGAGCTAAGGACCACCGCATCCTTCCTACCGCAGCTCCCCCAGTCACAGACAATGAGATAACAGCCACGTCCTCCGAAGGCTCTTTGTTCTCCCGCATCCTTTCGTTTCCAAGCTTTTTCCTGCAAAGGGGAGGGGGTGGGGGGTTCAGGGTGTGGGTGTAAGTGGGAGACGGAGGGGTGGGGTGCCTCCCCCGTGTTAATTACCCCGACTCCCTCACCCCTCTCCGCGCGCCTCGCCTCCCCTGCAGCTCCAGACAATGAAAAAACATCAACCCCACCTCGCCGCCCCACCGCAGCGAGTCCTACCCACCCAGTTCGCTCTCAGCTTTGCCTAGGAAAGTGAGGGGGGCCAGGAGGAGGGAGATGACGGCTAGGAAAAGGATGGGAAGCAGGAGCCCAGCGGCCGCTGCCGGAGCAGGGCGTGTTGCCTCCGCCTTTACCTCGAATGTCGAGTCCTGGTGCAGCCCGACCGGGCGTGCCGCAGGGCTGAGCTGCAGCGGCCCCTCACCAGGATCTGTGGGAATCAGCCTTCCGGAACTCTCCTGCTGCGGTCCTCTCGCTTAGATCCCAAGTGGTGGAGGGGAAAAAGGAAAAGAAAAAAAAAATAATAAATAAATAAGAGCGAGGCCCATCTGGCCCCTCATCAGCCTTGTCAAGTCTTGCATACGCTAAAATGCTAATGACCTAGATAGCTCATGCAAAATGCAGCAGGGAGGGAGGGAGGGAGGGGGGAGTGAAGGGAGAAGAGGGAGGGAGCAGTGAAGGGAGAGGGAGAGGGAGGAGGAGACGGAGGGAGGAGGGAGACTGGGTAGGGGGAGGGGAGGGAGGAAGAGAGAGAGAGAGAGAGAGAGAGAGAGAGAGAGAGAGAGAGAGAGAGAGAGAACAGCAGCCCTACACACTCCCCCCACCCCACCCCACCCTAGTCAACCGGCTTTACAGGGGTAAAGGGTGGGCGTCGATTTAAAAGGTCACTCCTATATAATGTAGCTGGATGGGGTGGGGGAGAGATTCCCCAAACCCATGGGGACAATAAAACATTATTTTAATCCCCCTCCCTCTCTGCCCTCCACCACTCTGTTTACACACAAGTCCAGTCACCTTATGCTTGTACATGCCAATTTCTCAAGACTGTTTTCAACATACAGCCACGCTGTCATTCCCGATACACCAGAATGGGGAAGATGCCTCCTAACCCACCGCCCTCCATCACCTGGCCAACCCTCCACCCTACCTACTGCCTTAGCCTTTCAGGCAGCCTCCCACTCACTGCTTCTCTTCTAAGCCTTCGGGTTCCCATTCCCCTCTTAATATCCCAAAAAAGGCGAGATAGAGGGGCTTGTAGGACAATTTGGATCCAACTGGATTGGGTCTGCATTTAGCTTCCCATCCACCTAAGAGGGCGGGGGACACAGTCTCTACCTAACACTGACCTCTTAAAGCATGCCACAAAGATAAGTAAAATAGAGTATGAATACCCTGAGAGGTCCGCAGGCCCTGCGGGGTGCCCTTGGGCTGCGTTGATCTCTCCAATCCCGGAGCCAGAGTTCCGTGCGTCCCTTGTCACCGAGCCCAAGACGCTTTGTCCCGGAGTCCGCACAAGATCCTCATCTTTTTGTTCTCCTTTAAAAGACATGGGTTGCAGTCCGTAGTGTTTCAGCCAGTCCAAACCAAAGGCAGGATCTACTGGAATAAAAAAGAATGGGAATAATACATATACATGCAGATGAATGCGGGATTGTTGCGGAGGCTAGGGCAGCCCCGCAAGCAGAGAAGCGGCCTCTCTGGCCAAGCCCCAATTGCTTCCTTGTCTTGGGTGGGGGAAAGGAAGAGCTGCGAGCAGGCGCTGGTGGTCGCGCCACCTGGCCGGAGGAAAAGCTAAGGATAAAACCCGACATCGTGGTAATGGCTCCGACGAGAATTTAAAAAATAAAAACAACAAAACAAAAAAACCCAAACCAGAATCCTCCTGTACTGAACCAGAGCCTGCGTGCAGAAGAGACCGCACTGCTGGTGGCCGCGGCCAGGGGGGAAGGATGCTAGCGCAGGAGGCGAAGGTTGCAGAGGCTGCACCCTCAGATGAATAATAATAAAGCGCTGAGAAGTTGCAGTGCAGCTTGGAAATCCAGCCCTGCGCGTGAACTCGCGTCGAGTGCGGATTGCAGGGGATGGGGGAGAAGGGGGAGGAGAGAGGGGGAGGGGGGTGAGGGGAGAGAGAGAGAGAGAGAGAGAGAGAGAGAGAGAGAGAGATATGCAGAGAATTTAGAACCTTTTCTTTTAGCCTCACCAAGCTCTGATCTCCTTCACTGTCCTCGCTGGGTGAGGCTGAGGTCCTTTTAAAAAATTATTATTCTCTTAACGGATTATTCAGCTAAGAGAAGCCACATCTGCTGACGGTTCCGAAAACAAGAGGATTAGGAGTCGGTCCACAGAGCCCGGCCCGCAGCCCCCCACCCCCTCTGCACCAGCACACGTCACTCTCACTGCCCCCGGGCACCTCCCTCTCCTCGGTGTTCGGGAGGACTGTGCCAAGGAAAATGCGGATTTGGGGAAAGTGAGAACTGGGGGTGCTCGCAAGAGCGGGAAAGCCAAGGCCGGAGGTGGCGATTCGCACCCCCACACTTACACGCGCTTCCGTTTATCCGTTTAGATCCCGGGAGAAGGGGGCGCTTTCGCCGCGCCCACTCGCGCCGCATCTGCAGTGGTCCGAGCCCTCCGATCCCTTGAAGCCACCCTGGCCGCCCCAGGTCCTGCCAAAGTCCTCTGGGCGGACTCGGGGGTTCAATCCTACACCTGCCTGCATCGCTCCGCGCTCTCTTGTTCCCTTCTTCGCCCCCTCGGTGCGACACCGCGGCTAGCCCACGCGCTGTTTCTTGAGCTTCGGCCAATGGCGTGGGGGGGCCCTGGGACACCTACAGGTCTTCCGCTCGTCGCCCTCAGCCCGAATCGCCCGGTTCCCGGCAGCTGCGGCGCGGGCCAGGCGGCTGAGGATGGAGCTGGGTGCTGCTGAGGTTGCGGTTGCCGTCACTGCGGAGAGCGCGCGGTTGTGGGGCGGTGCGGCGACCCGAGCGCCAGTGCAGCCTCCTCCTCACCCCGCCCTAGGCTGGCGTCTGGGCAGGACAGTGATGGGGGTGGGAAGACGAATGGCGGAGCGGGCGGGGGGGGGGGAAGGGATGGAGGACCATAGTCTCTTGGTCCCCCCCACCCCCCACCCCCGCAGTCAAGGTGAAAGTGAAGGAGAGCGGCGCGCGTGCTCGCGCCTCTAGTTGCGTGCGCGCGCCCCTCCCCTGCCCGCGCCCTCCCGCCCGCCCTCGCCCGCCCGGGCCAGATGGAGGTCCGAGATTACCGAGGCACAAAAGTGCGTCTACACGTCCGGCCACCCGTCCTGAGGACGTGGAGAGCCACTTCGGGGAGGCGCCTTTTGTTGTAGTTGTGGGGCTCGGTGACTGTGTTTCCAAGAGCACTGAGTTAGCTGTGGCCTTAACGAAGGACCCAGAATGAATGCCCCCATAAGAGCAGACCCAAAAGACCTTCCCCCACCCCCAGCCCCCGCGCCTGCGAAATCTGTCTTCCCAAAGGGCTGCTGCGGCAGCCGCGAGGCAGCCCCGACCCGCACACGCTGGCCCATCTGCTTTCCCTACCCCTACGCCTGCTTTTCTTTGATGACTTACAAGAAAAAGAAAAAACAAAAACAAAAAACAAAACAACAACAAAAAACCAAAACGAAGTGTTTCTCCGGCTATGTTGGATTCAGGACATCTAGACATGGGGAGAGCAAGCTCCCGCAGCTAAAAGCAGTCTAAACGTGGCGGCGGCGGCCAATGGCCAGTGCAGAGGGTTGTGGCCGAGGCACCTACCTAACCGGGATGGAGCTACAAGGATGTCCCCTTAGATTCAAGGCCACTTCTGCTTCTGTCAGTTGTTACATTTGGGCCACAACAGAAGAATGGCTGCCACAAAACCTCCCCTACTTGCTTTTTGCTTCAACAATGTGCCGCTAGAGGCTTAGGAAATAAGCAGTTTTTTTTTTTTTATTTCTAGAATTGAAAATCTTGGGAGGGGTTTTAGAAGAATTCGAAAACGTCCTTGGGACAGATTTTAATTAAAAAAAAAATGTAACTGGTTGGCAAAGGCCACCACTAGGCTATCTTTCTGGGACCCCTGACCATGCTGATAACAGTCTCGACCAAATTACAATTCTCTGGTGGACAAGATCTATTACTGGTAACTTGGCCATACTTTCCACCATTTTGATAAAGGTTTTTAGATTTATCTATGTCTGTTCTGTCTATTAAGCATCCCTTTGGCGGACAGTTTCGAACCCCTGCACCAGGGAAGAATGGGGTTGTGATTTGAGGACCAGTCGGTTTTGACTGAAGACCAACGGGACGCAGAGGCTGCGGTCTTTCACTAGATTGTCAGAAAGGCCTGGTTTTGTTTAGTTTGAGGACGGTTTGAATGCAGTTCTCCGCAATGCCTTTGCGGCATTGCGGGATTCTGGCTCTCTCATCTTGCAGTGTGGGGCGCGCGCGAGCGCGCGCGCGCGGGGTAGGGTGGGGTGGGGTGGGGGAGCCGAGACGTGGTTTTGTAACAGGCTCTGCAGGCCCGAGTGGGAACGCCTTAAATGATGAGCCCAGGGTTAAAAAAGAAAGGGAGAAAAAGGGCCGGGCAGGGGGGGGGGGAGATACGGCAGCTGATGCTGAATTAATAGTTAGAGCATACCCCTGGGACTTTCTCCAACCAGGGGGTCAGGAGTCCTTGCCCCTCCCCCAGCCACAGATTTCATATCTGTTTTTAACCAGTCTGAACGGATGCTGGGCCATTTGTAATGGCTTCTTAAAACCTAAACCCTTGGGCTTAAGGGCTGTCTATGCGCTTGATCAAACTCACCCCAAATACTAACACGTTAAGAAATTACATTGTAAAACTCCCCCAAATCGGATTGACTGGGCTGTTTGGGCCCATATGGCTGGACAGCTGTACAGCTCCACTGAAAAGACACCATTGCCCCTCGGATGGGATAAAGCAGGGCTTCCCCAGAGAGCTCAGACATGACCTAAGTATTAGCGTAGCCCGGGGTGAAGACTGAGTTCAATCTCCCTCTCTTCTTGAGGTTAAAATAAAGACAACAGAAATCAAAAGAGGAGCACTTTTGAATTCATTGTGAATGGCATGCCTCCTGCTGGTCCCACCAAAGGAAAGAAGGAAGACTGAGAGATGCCCTTCAGCTTAGCACGTGCATGAGGGTGGGTAAACGGAAGGGACAGGAGCCTGGAAAGAAATATATTATTTGCCTAGCCGTGGCATGTGTCAGTGACATTTGTGGTTCCCTGTTCAGAGAAGCAGGGTTCTGACCTCAGCTGATGCCTCAGTGTTAACCATGAAGAACAGCTATCCGAGTGCGATTTCCACGGTGAGAGGATGGAGGCTGTGCTGAGAGAGAATGGAGGAGAGGAGAAGAGAGGAGAGGAGAGGAG